TAAATTCAAAGGCCTGCCACGCGCTAATTCGTGCACTATGGGTAAATAACTCAGGGAGGACTTTATACTTGGCACACACAAAACATATTTACAAAGCCAAACTAGAAGAAAAGCCACTCGCTCAGTATGGGAAGGCTCAGCGCTCGAATGATTGTGAAGGGTTTGCAGGCTTGAATAAGATTCGGTGTAATTTTTACCAAATTTTGGGGCGCCACCAGAAACCAAGATACCAGGAAAAATGACATCGCCCAAAGGTGGTAGATTCACTAGGGCCCCAACATCCCTTAAAGTAATAGACGTGGAGCCAAGAGGGAAAATAAAGGTATTATACTCGGAAGACCAAAAACTCAAAGCGATCGAAAAGAGTGCTGAATCAAAAGTAGGGGGGGTCAAATAGAGATTTCTAACAAATCAGAAATCCTAGCATTATTAAAAAGTGCCTTAGTAGGACCATGGCCCACAAGACGAGCATGCCACCTATGGAAAGCTACATCAGATTTAGGCCAAGTGCGAATACCTCTTTCACGAAGTGGCCCCAACGGCAGATAGTTTAGAAATGGAGGGCCTTGAGTACAAGGAAACAGCTGGCCCACCGCCGCCTATTCGACTGCCTCTGCATTGTTGAAGAAAATACGTAGGTAGAACTCATTGAGTTCGACATTGGCGGGCGCGAGAAAACTCGGAGTTATGTATGGACGACTCAGAAGTTTCTGAAAGTCATCAAAACTAAAGGAGTCACCAGCTTGAAATTGTGAAGTAGCCATTAGGGATGAAACAGAGTTTTTTCAGAGTTACGTAGCAGGGAAGCAAAAGATGAACAGTAAATCGTGGGAGAGACGCGAAAAAGTGAGGAGTGATTTGGTGCAGTGAAATGCGCGTGTTTGGGGGTTATAAGGGTTTGCAAAACGTCGCACCTTTTCAAGCTATGGAAGAAAACAATGATTGAAATTCTTGGGAATTTCGAATGTTGCTGGAAACACAAAGTGAATATGGCAAAATTTAATAATTGTTATTAATTCTGCCATATTGGGGGGTAATTGTTGACACATAAAAATTCAGCCCAAATCGAGTGGCCCAAAGAATGAAACTCAATTGGAGAGTCCCCAAATCAGATAACCCAAAGAACGAAACACAATCAAACAATTCAAAATGGAGGCCCAAATAGGGAGGTCCAAGAACGCGGTAACGCCATCACCCAAGTTTGCAAGTCAGCCAGAATCTGAGCAAATGGAGTGCCATGCAGTCGCCCAGAGCTGTTACTCTATTCTCGCCCAAACCTTCAAGTCGCCCAAGGTCTTAGCAAACATAAAGTGTTGTGGTTATCAAGAAGTGCAGTTATCAAAACAGTTATTAAAGCAGCCCTATCACGTTCCACGATTCAAGGGATTCAATCGAAAAAGGTTGAACGACGAAGAGTAATGACAGCAGTTAAAAAAGGCAGTTTCATGACAAGTTGGCCATTACGAGGAAAGTGGGCAGTTGTAGAACGATCAAACAGTTTTTAGGCGGTTGATCACAAAGAGATCATCCATGAAGTATAAAAGGGAGAAAAGACATAGAGCAAAGGACCGAATCAAAAACTCTCGAGAACATGTAATTTTAAATTCCTTAACTTAGATTTAAACACTTTTTTCAGTAACTCATGTGCTTGCGCCCCTTGGAGGCATTTTGTTTTTAATTTCCAATTGTAAAGCCATCGCCAATAAAAGAACACCCCTTTTTGGGACTTTGTCTCAAGAGGTTTGTCCTTTACACAATCGTCTGATCCCTTTTAATTGTTAGCGACCAACCAGCGCGAAACAAAAAAATGTGTCATTTTACCGTTTACAAAAACGGAGACCCCTTTTAGAAAATTATAATCAGAAATTGATTCGGTAATGTGAATCCATGTCTGGGAATTCTGGAAATCGAAAAAGTTACGGGCAGATTACATATTATGGGAACCCTAATTATTTAGAATTGGTCAAATGCGCGCTTATTCATCATTTTATCTAATGCGATGTAAGTCATTATGTGGCGCATAGAGTGTTACCTGGGAACATCATTGTTCGTCAAAGGGGAATGTGTTTCCATCCTCGAAATCGTGTTGGAATCGGGAGAGATCACACTCTCTATGCTTTGGAGGAAGGTCCTATCAAGTTTGAGCGCCACAAATTAAGTGGACTCAAGTGGGTGCACGTAGAGCCAAAGGACGGTCATGAAGTCCACCTTGCCTATGCAAGTGATGATGCAAGTCTAAGATGAAGATCTTAGCTTAACTACACTGCATCTTTGTTTTATGTTGCTTTAGGGGTCGTCCATCAAGGAAGCATACAATGATTATATTTTTTGTCAGATGTGTTGAAAGCTACATAGCTTTGTTGTCTACTGTTTTTTAAATATTCCAACATTTTTATGGTTTCACAGTTGAATCCAGATAAAATTTTAGTCAAATTTGATTGAAAATGCACTAAGAAATAAAATCCTGGTGAAATTTTGATCAAATTTGATTAGAAACACGCCAATGAACTGAATCCCGATGAAATTTTAGTCAAATTTGATTGGAAACTCGTCAATGAACCAAATCTGTGTGAAATTTTATTCAAATTTAATTGGAAACAAGCCAATGATCGAAATCCAAGTGAAATTTTAATCAAATTTGATTGGTAACATACAATGATTACATTTTTTGTCAGATGTGTTGAAAGCTACATAGCTTTGTTGTCTTCTATTTTTTAAATATTCCAACATTTTTATGGTTTCGCAGATGAACTCGTGTTACAATTGCAATCTTTAGTCAAATTTTTTTCCTTTGTTATCACAGTATCCTAGATTATAATTAGTTATTGGTGAACATATAGAAATCGAAACACGAACTTGAGAAAAAGATCATCATGATATACAATATATACATGATGCAAAGAAGTTCGTTGCAAATACACTACGTAGCTTCAAACATATTCACACTAACAACTGCAGGTCAATAGCAATATCGCATGTCCAAACTAAACATGCTACTACTGTCATTAGTTAAAAATAGAATTGTTATATGCAATGTCACATTATCTAGGAATGAGGTTTACATGAATTTGCATAGATAAAAGTCTCCAAAATATATAAACAATTCAAGAACCTTTATAGGCAAAGAACACACCCTAGCATAGTAAATTATAATCGAGAAAGTAAAAATTGTTGGGCCAAACCTCTCTTTTAAGCATTTGATAGAACAAATTTTCTACCCCATTAAAATCTCTGCATTTCCTAAAAATCCAATTTTTTGTCAAAATCCCTACATTTTCTTCATTTTATAGATTTGCAAATTCATCTTAAAAATCCAACATATGGATCATCCGTATGCATTTTCTTGTTGGGAGCCATGTTCGTACAGCGACTTGGTGATGATCATGGAAGGATTGAGAAAAATTGGGAGCCATGTTTGTATCAATGTATGATCTTGTTGGAAGCCATGCACGTTAGTATAGTGTACCCAGTGCGCACCTGAAGGGTAGCGGCAGCGGGTTCTCCTGTCATTAAAAATAAATAAAAAAATAAAAATAAAATTTGAAATAGTTACGGACGGATAGCATGTTAAGTGTATCAGCAGTTTGGATGGCTGTCTCTACAGTTTTCTTCTTCTTTTCTGAAGACAAATCGTAAATGCTTCTGGATGTTGCCATAATTGGTGTTAGACTTGAAGAACTTGTAAAGCAATTTGTACTAGTGAGGGAGAAGAAGCAATTTCTGAGAGCAGATTGTAATACCTACGCATAGGATTAGAGTTTTATACTTGGGATATATCCCTAGTCAACGCAAACTCAAATCAATTGGTTGATTTGTGCGATAATGCTAAGGATTGTGAGATGTGTGAGATCTGTGTGAGTGGTATATGGTTTTGGGATTCTTGGAAAGTGATTCTCGATGGAGTCGATTTGGGAGGAAGATGAATAGACTCCAGATTAGGATTTTTGATATTAATCAACTACGTTAAGCGCTTGTTAATTGCAGTAAATTTAGCTACCTTAAATATACGCCTATATGATTTAGATAGTTTTTATGTTTTGTTTTTACTATAATTTTATGAGAAAAAAAATCACAAAATAATGTTTAAGTATTTATTAAAAAAAATGTGTCGTATAATTTCCATTATGATCAAGATACATTCCTTTCTACCCCATGTTTGGTAAATAGGTAAAAATTATGAATTCAGGTAATTTTGTTGGAAGAATGTGTAGTTGAAAATTAGTTTGGGGAAAATTAATTTTAGAAAACGAGGACCAGAGAAGGGGCTTAAAGTGTAATAGTATTTTTTAGATATTGTCAATTTAATGTATTTTGTTTGGTATATGTTAAAATTTGATCGAGAATATTATGATGAAATATATGATTGAAAAATTTAGAGGCCCATTGAATGTGATTAAAATCAATTCTTTACTTTAACTTGAAATTTTTATCAAACTTTAATGTACACCAAACACGGGCTTAATTAATTTCTACTCCAAGAGACTTTCTACTTGTAAAAATCATATTATATAATTTAAAGAGCATCTATAAATTTAGAAAGTTTGAAATTTGATGATTATCTGTATTTTTTCATTTTTTTTGGGTTGGGGGGTGGGGGTAGGGGAGGTTATCTATTGTAAGTTATTTAAGAAGATCTCAATTTTCAAAATTTTTCAAAAAGTTTCTTTGCGATCCTTACATTTCATTCCATCCCTTTGTGGCCTCTCTCACTATCTTGCGCTTCTCTCTTGCCTTTTTTCCTAATGTAAATTATTCTACTCTATTAAAGTAGCTTGATTGTTTTCGACATTCTTTCTGATTCTAATCTTGAAATAATAGCTCACCTTGTCAAAAAGGTCTTTATATCTTGTTTTTGGCATTCACAAATTCAATTTAACTTAACAATGAAATAAAAGCTCTCTCGATAATCTACTTTGTTTTCACACACTTGGTTAAATTGGATTCTCTTCTAAACCAAATGAAGTGTTACATGCTTTGAAGATTAAGGAAAACCCAAAGAGAGTAAAAGCAAGAGAGAATATGTCAAAAGAAAAAAAAGGGAAAAAGTCGAGCAAATTCTTACCCTCTTCTAAACGATTAAGTAACACTCCCATTAAACTCATGTCCACATTATATTAGCAATGTTTCAACATCTGCCCCATCTTATTCCTTGTGTTTCAATGGTCCGGATTGGCCCACATAGTTTAGGCAGTACACACACATGGGACATGACACATGATTTCACCCAGATAAAGCTAGCCGGAGCTTTTCCACCAACATATTAGGGGCACTAAGGTGAGGCAAATGGCCCTCAGTATCCAACATAAGCACGGTGCTGTGCCCGCCGAGTTGGTTCTTCAGATAAGTTGCAACTGAAATCGGCACCGACACATCTTTAGCAGTTTGAATTATTGAACATGGCACCTTCACTAGGCCTAATACTCCCCTTAAGTCGCTACTAAAAACAGTATGTGATACGAATAGTGCTATGTCTGGCCTCATATTGAATAATGTTAGACTAAATTCCCTCACTGCTACCGGCACGTCGGCTCCCACTGATAAAGGAGCGAAACCGTTTACCCATGCCTCGTAATTAGACTTCATTGCTAATAACACTTTCTCGATTTCTCCATGTTCGAAGCCACCATGGTAGTCTTCATCATTCAAAAATCTGAAAATATTCAATACTGATAAGTGATTACTCCGCGTTGTTAAAGAGGAAATGATCGAGTTAGTTCGATCCACGAGAGTTGTTTTGTCAAAAGTAAAATACGAGTAGTTTCAATCAGAACTGCTATTAATGTGGGTATCTCTATTTCTAGAGTAGGGTCTGCAATTCTAATTAAAGCCACGAAATAAGTAGCTGGTAAATTAAAATTGGAACTTACGCAACTCGTAGAATTAGAACATTTGCACAATTTGTTTTAGATCTCTAAAAATCTACTCAGAATCAATTGGCAAAAGTTCGATGATTATGTGAATTGCTTAAACAATCCTAATCAGCTCCTAGAAGAACAAACGATGATCTATTTATTTCGGAACAAATGGTTATCTCGATTCAATCGTTTCAAATATGTAAGTTGAGGATAAATCTAATAAGGATGTTGCCATAATTGGTGTTAGACTTGAAGAACTTGTAAAGCAATTTGTACTAGTGAGGGAGAAGAAGCAATTTCTGAGAGCAGATTGTAATACCTACGCATAGGATTAGAGTTTTATACTTGGGATATATCCCTAGTCAACGCAAACTCAAATCAATTGGTTGATTTGTGCGATAATGCTAAGGATTGTGAGATGTGTGAGATCTGTGTGAGTGGTATATGGTTTTGGGATTCTTGGAAAGTGATTCTCGATGGAGTCGATTTGGGAGGAAGATGAATAGACTCCAGATTAGGATTTTTGATATTAATCAACTACGTTAAGCGCTTGTTAATTGCAGTAAATTTAGCTACCTTAAATATACGCCTATATGATTTAGATAGTTTTTATGTTTTGTTTTTACTATAATTTTATGAGAAAAAAAATCACAAAATAATGTTTAAGTATTTATTAAAAAAAATGTGTCGTATAATTTCCATTATGATCAAGATACATTCCTTTCTACCCCATGTTTGGTAAATAGGTAAAAATTATGAATTCAGGTAATTTTGTTGGAAGAATGTGTAGTTGAAAATTAGTTTGGGGAAAATTAATTTTAGAAAACGAGGACCAGAGAAGGGGCTTAAAGTGTAATAGTATTTTTTAGATATTGTCAATTTAATGTATTTTGTTTGGTATATGTTAAAATTTGATCGAGAATATTATGATGAAATATATGATTGAAAAATTTAGAGGCCCATTGAATGTGATTAAAATCAATTCTTTACTTTAACTTGAAATTTTTATCAAACTTTAATGTACACCAAACACGGGCTTAATTAATTTCTACTCCAAGAGACTTTCTACTTGTAAAAATCATATTATATAATTTAAAGAGCATCTATAAATTTAGAAAGTTTGAAATTTGATGATTATCTGTATTTTTTCATTTTTTTTGGGTTGGGGGGTGGGGGTAGGGGAGGTTATCTATTGTAAGTTATTTAAGAAGATCTCAATTTTCAAAATTTTTCAAAAAGTTTCTTTGCGATCCTTACATTTCATTCCATCCCTTTGTGGCCTCTCTCATTATCTTGCGCTCCTCTCTTGCCTTTTTGCCTAGTGTAAATTATTCTACTCTATTAAAGTAGCTTGATTGTTTTCGACATTCTTTCTGATTCTAATCTTGAAATAATAGCTCACCTTGTCAAAAAGGTCTTTATATCTTGTTTTTGGCATTCACAAATTCAATTTAACTTAACAATGAAATAAAAGCTCTCTCGATAATCTACTTTGTTTTCACACACTTGGTTAAATTGGATTCTCTTCTAAACCAAATGAAGTGTTACATGCTTTGAAGATTAAGGAAAACCCAAAGAGAGTAAAAGCAAGAGAGAATATGTCAAAAGAAAAAAAAGGGAAAAAGTCGAGCAAATTCTTACCCTCTTCTAAACGATTAAGTAACACTCCCATTAAACTCATGTCCACATTATATTAGCAATGTTTCAACATCTGCCCTATCTTATTCCTTACGTTTCAATGGTCCGGATTGGCCCACATAGTTTAGGCAGTACACACACATGGGACATGACACATGATTTCACCCAGATAAAGCTAGCCGGAGCTTTTCCACCAACATATTAGGGGCACTAAGGTGAGGCAAATGGCCCTCAGTATCCAACATAAGCACGGTGCTGTGCCCGCCGAGTTGGTTCTTCAGATAAGTTGCAACTGAAATCGGCACCGACACATCTTTAGCAGTTTGAATTATTGAACATGGCACCTTCACTAGGCCTAATACTCCCCTTAAGTCGCTACTAAAAACAGTATGTGATACGAATAGTGCTATGTCTGGCCTCATATTGAATAATGTTAGACTAAATTCCCTCACTGCTACCGGCACGTCGGCTCCCACTGATAAAGGAGCGAAACCGTTTACCCATGCCTCGTAATTAGACTTCATTGCTAATAACACTTTCTCGATTTCTCCATGTTCGAAGCCACCATGGTAGTCTTCATCATTCAAAAATCTGAAAATATTCAATACTGATAAGTGATTACTCCGCGTTGTTAAAGAGGAAATGATCGAGTTAGTTCGATCCACGAGAGTTGTTTTGTCAAAAGTAAAATACGAGTAGTTTCAATCAGAACTGCTATTAATGTGGGTATCTCTATTTCTAGAGTAGGGTCTGCAATTCTAATTAAAGCCACGAAATAAGTAGCTGGTAAATTAAAATTGGAACTTACGCAACTCGTAGAATTAGAACATTTGCACAATTTGTTTTAGATCTCTAAAAATCTACTCAGAATCAATTGGCAAAAGTTCGATGATTATGTGAATTGCTTAAACAATCCTAATCAGCTCCTAGAAGAACGAACGATGATCTATTTATTTCGGAACAAATGGTTATCTCGATTCAATCGTTTCAAATATGTAAGTTGAGGATAAATCTAATAAGAGTTTCGATCAGAAAACGACTTTGAGTAATTTCTAAGCAAATCAATGACCTTTATCGAATAATCATTAAAAATATAGACAAGATGCTTTCTACTTTATTAGCTCTTCAAACAACACAAGACAAAAGATTCCCATTTCTGGGCTGGCCTAAAACGAAGAAAAATTTGTTATTTTCGTTTATCCAATAACGAACACATGCATATAAGCAACGAAGTTGAATGATTACAAGTATTTTCAAGATGCAGGAAAACTGTTTGATAAATTACCTAGGAGAAGCCCCTATGAGGATGAGCTTCGTGAAGAGCTCAGGGCGGCGAATAGAGGCCAAAATCCCGATCATGGCAGAGATGGAGTGACCAACATAAGCACAACGATCGACACCAAGGGCATCGAGGATATGCAAAAGGTCGTCAACATAGGCATCAAGAGAAGTGTAACGACCGAAATTGAAGGTATCCGGGTTAACACTGCCTGCACAAACAAGGTCATAAAGGACAACACGATAATCGCGCACGAAAAACGGCAGAATGTGCTTCCATGCTGATTGATCGGTGCCGAAGCCATGGGCTAGGACAAGGATTTTCTTGCCAGATCCCTCCATTCGCACATGTAAGGCTTCTAATAGACTTTGGTCCATAATCTTTTACACTTAGAAACGAAGAATATGAGATTTTTTATTTTTTTATTTTGGTTTTGGTAAAGACTTTAGATAGAGGATCAGTTTATATGAATTTTGCGTTTGTGAATTTTGCTTCAAATGTATCCCTTTATGTATTGTCTGCTATTTATATAGGAATATTGAAAGTACATCTCATCTACTAAGGCAAAAGTTACTATGACAACCCTCTGGACGTCCAGAGGATTGTGTGGCGCTCGCACCTGTGCGAATAACTCCATCTACTAAGTATATTGGAGTAGTTTATTTTATTTAGGAAGTATTTGCTAATGTGACTTCGGATATCTAGCTTCAGAAGGTGAGAGCAGATTTTATTTTATTTATTTTTTCATTATGGCCCTAAGATGAACGATGTTGATGATAGAAATTTGATCAACAAAATTTTATTACCTAGTTATTGGCTACCTCACCTTCTATACTTATTGATTCTGATTTTCAAATCGGAGCATGAAGACAAAATGCCATTTGTGAAGGAGATATTTGATTTTGCATAATTCTTATTTCCTAGTTAAGATGAAGTCTATACGTATTTATACATGCATTATTGAGATTTATTATAACCACATTAAAATTTTTGAAAAAAAAAGTCCTTTACATGACAATTATTTTCTTTGGTCATTAATTCACAAAAAAAAAAAAAGGGAGAGAGAGAAAAAGAAAGGAAGAAAGAAGAACACACAAAATTATTATTATTATTTGAATAATACTATTTACAGTCACTCATTGTCGCAGTTGCCCTACGTGACATATATATGAAGGTTGGTTTATTGATATATGAGGCAAGAAAAAACTATCACAAACTGCCATAAAGAATGCCACGTGAGGTGACTATCACAGTGAGCGACTATAAAATAATATTACTCTTATTATTAGGGTAGCATTTATGAGGTTGAACAATAGCAATTTTTAACATGTAGGCTTGAGTTATTATTGTCGCGATTTTAAGAGAATCAATTAGAAAGAATCAATTTTTGTAAGAATATTTTTAAGTGATGGATAAACTTTTTCTTTAAAAGTATTGTATATGTTAAAATAAATATTTTAGTTTTTGATAAACATGGTTGTTTATTCCTACGTCTGCATACTCTACTAAATTGCACATTTATTATATTGATAAAACATAGTTTTTGTATAACAATTATTCATAGCAATGTAAAATTTATTGTTTATTTTTATAACAATATATAATATTATCAAATATTTTCTAAGGCAATGGAAGCAATAGAATTATGTAAAACTACAATAATAATATCTATTAAATTTCAAAATTTAAGAAAATTATAAAAGAAAAGCATAGTACATGTAGTAGAAAATATTCAAATAACTTTAATTAATGAAATAATCAATTATTTCGGAATATCAATAAATTTTGGACAGAAAATTAACTAAGTCAATTAATTAAGTAAAAAATAATATTTTAATTATAGATAATTGGAGAAATTGAAACTGAATATGAGAAGCTACAATTTTGGTCCTTCTCAATATCTGTTGTCAATTGGTATAGTTTCTTCAATAATCAATTTATTAAAATTTATCGAAAACCTAAAACAAGCTATGATTGCTTGAGAATAA